AAGGCCTGCACCACCAGGCTTGGCTTTCTTTTCTTTTCACTACTCGTATTTCATGTCTTTCTTAGACTCAGTATTTCTAATACTTTTGGAATCATCTATGTATGTATGTATGTATGCATGCATGCATGTATGTATGTCTCCAGGTTGATCTGTTTTCTTAACTCAATGCTAACTGGTCTACCGCCATCTTTCTCTGCAATTGAGGTTTTAAAATTCTAAACATGGAGTTCTGCAATACTAGTTTTTAATGCTTACATTCAAGTGAAATCTTCATTTAGTCTTTAACTTTTCTCAACTTTGTTCATTTTAACAGCTCAATTTAACACCTTTTCTTTGTAATCAGTGCTTATTATTTAAGTAGTATGTCTTCAGAATTACCTTAACTATTTTTGGCCTTTAATTCTCCATGTGACTGCCAAATTCTATAAAAATTCTGAAATGGGCTGGGAAGATATCAGTCAATGAAGTGCTTGTCACACAAGCATAAGGACCTCAGTTTGAACCTGTGGTTGTTTAAATAAGAATGGACACTATACACTCATATATTTTAATGCTAAGGGAGTAGCATTAGGAGGTGTGGTCTTGTTGGAAGAAGGAAGCCACCAGTGGTGGGCTTTCCAGTGCTACTCCCTCTCTTCTTGCTATCTGGATGTAAAGTTCTCAGCTACTTCTCCAGCACTATGTCTGCCTGCATGCTGCCATACTTCCTGTTACCATGATGATAATGGAAACTTCTGAAAGTAAGTAATCCCCAGTTAAATGTTTTGTTGCTTTTTTTTAAGTGAAGAATTGCCATAGACATGGCAACTTTTCACAGCAACAGGACACTGACTAAGACAGATCCCCAGAAACCACGTAGAAAAGCTGGGCACAGTAGAGAAAGGCAGATCTGTGGGACTCACTGGCCAGCCAGTACAGCCTGTATCAAGTTTCAGGCCAGTAAGATTCTGTTCTAAAATTCAAAGTGGATAGTATCTGTGTATACCTATATGAACATGCAATCATACATATTGACAAAGTCATCCCTTCAATTCCCACCCCTACAGACTCCTACAGACTGTGACTTACATTCAATATATTCTTCAGTGAGGCAGCACTGCCGTCTTACAAAGTCAACCACACTGTCACCTAATCTATGACTATAGTAAATTCATTTTCCACTGCTAAACCGTTTTTTGTTAATTCTCCAGGAAAAAAACTATTTTTAAAGTGTCTATGGTGTATGCTTAGTATGCTTAGATTCAGTAAACATTTTTTTGTTCTTTGTTATATTATGCTTACTGAGACAGGGTCTCTAGATAGAAAAGCTGGCCTCTAACTCAGGATACTCCTCCCTTAGTCTCCTGAGGGATGAGATTACAAGTGTAAATTATCATGCCTGGTTCTAGATTTGGCTTACTAATATTCTACTTTAGATTGAAAGTAAGATTGAATTTACTCTGCATTTGAATGACATTTTAATCAAGGCTATTTTATATGAAAGTTCTCTGTACTCTTCAGAGTAGATTATAAAGTAAAAACCTGTTAGTTCTTCAACGTGATTCACAGCAAATTTGGCCAAAACTGTACAAGTGTTCATCCTTTTCATGTTTCAAACAACTATACAGCAGACATACTCTTACAAAGTCAATTTCAATAAATATTTTTGAATTCATGAACTTTTTGATGAGTATGTCAAGAAAATTTAATCATCAAAAAAGCAAGTACCTAAAAGATGGTCATCCCACAAAACAAAGTACAAATTTATAAGTTAGGGGATAAGTTTATAGACTGTATTACCTATGAAATTATAATTCCAAAATAAACACCACAAAGATTAAGGAAATCAAGAGCGAGGCTGGAAGGTAAATTTGTATTGCTAAGATAAGCTGACACAGACAGCAACGTTTTCCCATGAAGCTCTTTCCCATCATGAACACATCATCTTCAATGATGCTCATTGTTTGTAAACATGTTAGAGCAAGGGCTAAAATCCTACCAACACCAACATTATCAAAAATAGCAGTATGTTTTAATTTTTGCATGGAGACTACAGAGACATTACAATTCTACACAACACTCAGATTCTTTGGAAAAAAGAGGGAGGAGCTAGGAAATCTGTCCAAATTTCCTAAGCAAGAATGAAAGTCCAGTGCTAGTGATCTCACTAGGGCTGAAACACTGGCTTTGAAACTTGCGCTTCCACTGTCTTCTCTTAATTTCAGTTAAAGATAAAGTACTCTCCTAACTCAGCTGTCCCTTCTTTTCTATGTAGACTGAGGGTTCTTGCTTTAATGTTCCTGTAAGGAGTAAGACATCATGTCAAATAGTTTTACATTAATTTGATTACCAATAAATACGAAAATCTTATCCAGGGAAGGAAGCATCCAGGCTAAAATGGAAAGATCACAGCCACTTTCACCGTAGTCTGAATTTCCTCCACAATATTCAAGTAGATCCAGCTAAACCTAAATTTTTGATTTTAGACAATTTTTAGGGAAAAAAAATATAGTCATCCACACAATATGACATAAATGCTGGCCTCAGGAATCCCAGAATCTGTATACTGAGCTTAAATCCCTCATGTGCTAATTTCGCTCCAATTGTTCCAATTCTCAGAGGCTACCCATAACCAAATATAAACAATCCTCATAACTACTGAACAGCCCTTGAAGTATCTTCAAATATGTGAAATGGAAGTTGAAAGACTGTTATCCATTAGATCATTATACATATATTCACAGGGGTAAAACTTATAAACATCTCCTAACTAGTAATTATGATGGTTGGCTTTTTAAAGAGCAAAACTTGTATGTTTAGAAGACACTTACCATAAAGAGCTTCTTTGCCACTGCAGACTAAAGGAACAATGGAAGGCAACTTTTCCATGGTGTGACTATTAACTGTTTTACCCAATGTGTCCTTTAGATGACACAGGTACTTTACCTACTAAATGCTGGTATAATGAAAAAGTTCAAAACTAATTAAAAAAAAAAACCTTCAGCAGGAAGATGTTTTGCAAATATGACTGTCACAGGACATAGGAGCTAGAAAGTCCTTACCTAGTACTGAGGCCTTTCCTAGGTCTGGCATAATCAAGGAAGTTAGCACAGTGAAACGGTTTCCCCTGTTGTTACACCTAAAGCTTAAAAATCATTCTCCTACATATAACTCCTCCAGGCTCATCGTAATCAAACAAAATACAAAAACAAAAAGCATTATTTTTCTCTGCTCAGGAATATAATCTTTAAGATATGTACCTGAATCATCTTCTACACTTATGCATCATTACCTTTTATAATGCCAATAAGACTCTGGCAGAGGTCATTCATTATATTTTGCCAAGCAGATAGTAATTACAAAAAAAATGCATTTTTAAAATTATATCAGCTTTAAAAGAACTGTTTTACTTCATTTGAAGAGTATAAACAAACCCCCTGGGTAAATTTTATTTTATTTGAGGCAGGATTCAATATGTAGCCCCAAACTCCAATTTAAAAGTAACATTTAAAGCATTTAAAGTAACAGTGTAAATTTGTTGGTGGGTTTGTTTGTCTTTTTTAAAGGCAGATTTACACACAGCTTTTTTTTTAAAAAAAAAGTATTTTCTCCCTTTTCCCCCAAAATAGGGTTTCTCTGTAACTTTGGAGCCTGTCCTGGAACTCACTCTGTAAACCAGGTTGGCCTCGAACTCACAGAGATCCACCTGTCTTTGTCTCCCATATATTGGGATTAAAAGTGTGTGCCACCACCTCCCATCAAAAAAGTATTTCCTTAGTAAAATAGAATTTTAAATGTTTTAAAGCCATTACAAGACCAAACGTATTAAGCATACATCATAAAAACTTAACAAAGATTGCTATTACATATTATAGCTTTTAAAATTTCACAAGCATAAGTGAGGAATATTTATATAAGCCAAAATTTAACTCACTTATTGCTTTAATATTTCTACCATTATGTCCAAAGTTGCTGGTAGGGATAAAAGAGAAAAGAACACAAATGAAAAAGGATAAAAAAAAAAATGCACACAAAGGGTGTGTGAGATAATGGGGGAAAACTCAACTCCTGAATCTTATGAAAGGGAACTAAGAACTATAGAAATTCAGTGATTTAGGCCAAACCAGCAATTGGTGGAACAGTAAAGTTTCCTTTAAAAACCCTGAAACTGCAGTTTTGGGGAACATCTTTAAAATGGAGTACTAAGGCCAGAGCACACTTATACAAAGAACTCAGTATCTCCACAACACAAATGAAGTCAAATACCCAATCCTGGTCCCTTCAAAACCAATGCTGGTGGTGCTTTTGTAATCAAGCAAACTGCCACAGACTTGCCATTCCCTAAAATGCCTACCAAATGCTCTTTTCCAGAAATTGCTGTTTCTGTTATTACTTCTAACATTTTAAAAACATGTTTACTTAATCATTACTATTTATTTAATATGTATGTGTACATGTACATATGCATGTTTGACCTTAAGGTCAGAAGACAACTTGATGCAAACAGTCGTCTGCTTCCCCTACTAGGTTCTGGAACTCCAACTCAGGTTTCAGACTCATGGGAAGTACTTTCTTTCACCTGTTGTGCCATCTCACTAAAATCTTTCAACACTTTTCTTTAAAGGACTAACACTAACAAGACAGAATTCTTATTTAAGATAATGTATAAAAGCATTCTCCTTTCTAGTTCCCAGTACAGAGGTCTCCTATTCTCTCCGCCTCTCCCTCCCCTTATACTATTAAACTTCTATCGATCAATTTTACAGCTTACAGATAAACAAAGAGAAGGGAATCTGAAGAAAAACATACACCTCTCCTATTGGAAAGAGTTGTAAGTAAGTTCTTAATAGTTCACATGTTCACCATTACTCCCTATTCTAAGCCAGAAATCAAAGTATTATCTAAACATACTTTTAGCAATTCAGTATAAAAAAATTTCCCTAAATTATATTTATTTAATAGTTTATATAAATAATTTTCACTTATGTTTCAATAATCATTTCTTCCAAAGACATATTTACCTTCAGCCAGTGCTGGTGATTCTGTCCTTGTCCTTCTATCTGTTTAAAGAAAAAAAGGGAAGAGAGTCTAAAACCTCATTATACTTTCAAGTAAGTTATTACAGCTAACTTCAACCATAAGTACCCTGAGTTCCCCAGACCCACATAAAGAGTGGAGCATGGTACATTCCTTACCACCTAGAATCAGAAGAGAGAGAACACAGAGATAGACAAATTCCCCCCAAAGTCACCAGCCAGCCTACCCAAAATAGACTCTTTCTCTGTCTTTCCCTTCCTCCTTCTCCCTCCCCCACCCCCGCCGTGCGCGCGCGCGCGCGCGCGCACACACACACACACACACACACACACACACACGACACAAAGTGAAGGCTAAGGAAAATACCCAACTTTGACCTCTGGCCTTCACATATGCACACACAAACAGCTACACAAACAAGCACATATATTTCATATACACACCACACCCTCACAAATGCTGTTTACAAATGTATTTCCTTAGATGAATCTAAAATCTCTTTATGAAGGACCTACCTCGAGTAAAATATCATATTAGCCCTACAAGAACACCAACAAATGGTAAAACAACAAGGATGCAGAATTCAAGACATTCAGAGACAAACAGTAACCCAAGAAGATAACTCATCACTGTGCATGAAAAAGTTAACAAGAGAAAGACAATTGGCAATTTTCTATATCCTTATCACAGGGGCCAAAGGGATCTATTTCTATTCTCTTACCAAGGCTGAAGTTCACCTGGTGACAAAATCTTCAATGCCAGTCTTATCTGAGGTGCTAAAACTCACATCCTATGGTAATAGCCCAATATTTGCTACTGGCAGATTTGAGAAAACCAAAGTAAGCCACAGAGTGCTTTCAATATGGATTCTACCAGTTCCAAATGACTTAGTTATCATTTTGTGACTAAGAACACCTTTAAGATAACCATTGCAACTAAACAGCTCACATAAAATTATCTGACTAATGTAACTACTCACTTTTGTGTGAAATTTTCTTTCCTTAATTATTTATTCTGTAACTCAGGAGCCCTGGGTTAAACAAACACAATTTCCATGTATTAGTACTGGGTAGCACCTTGGCACTTGTTTTCCCAGATGGCAAATGATCTAATGCTTAACACTGTCCTCCACAGGCTGAAATGTGTCTGACATTTTATTTTGATGAGTCAATAGACAGAGGCAATAAAGTCCATTCATCCAAATCCTCCAGATCAGTTTTGTTTACCCTCACTTTTTTTTAAGGGCAGGGGTAGGAAAGAGAAGGTCTTCTCCAGGGCACACAGGAGAGCTCTGCAGAACTCTAAGCATTAACTGTTCTTTGGCTACTTTCAACTCCCTACTCTGAAACAGTGTGTTAACATGGATAGAAGAGTGAGAGGATGGGCAGGAAACTAACCCTAACAGCCATAAGACCCTACAGATGCTATGCCACAACGCAAACAAGGAGGCAGTTACTGCAACAAAAGGATAAATCAACTAAAGGCATTGGACCTTTGAGTAAGAAGGCCAGGCCACTCAGGAAGAAGCTTACTGAGGTATCACTAAGCTGAAAGGAAGACCAAGAAAGCGAGGATGAGCCTCTTTCTACAGACTCCTGCTAGCCATCCCATAACCCTGTATCACAGGGATTGTGAGCTGCACCAGCAGACAACACAGGGAGTAGGCAACACAAGACATCTCTTGTGCACTCACACTCTCATCCAGGGAAATCTCAGCTGCATTCTCTGGCTCACTGTCTGCTATAAGAATCTGCCTAAAAGATGCCCACAGAACTCTGAATGCAGAGACAGAAAATGTAAAACTTAACTGTTAACATTATGGCCAATTTTTGACCAACAGGACAGGAAAGCTGGTGGATGAATACTCTCTTTGGTTCCTATTTGAAGGCGGTTTTCCTGTCTTTTCAAAGAACTTCCTCAAGAACCATTCAGTTGCTCACAAAGGTGACCTGCTCAATAAGCTATCTTTGAAAGGCCTTTGCTTCCATTTCACTTCCCCACCTCCCACCTATTTATCAGTAACACAGCCTAACCCTAACCCCCCACAGTAAGAGACTTTCACAAAAGCCTGTCTTAGGCTGTTTCTGGGAATGAAACCAGTTTATTTGTCTTCTAAGTCATCCAACGCCAATCAACAGTCTTTTTCAATCTCCTTTCTTAACGCCCTCTTCCCTCAAACTCCTGAAATTGACATGGCCGTGGCAGTCCTAGGTCCTTTGCTCCCTTCAGGACTGCACTGTCTCACAGCTTTATTGAACAGCTACATAGCCCAAGCTTTCACGTCCGACTTTTCTAACTTGGTGCTCACACAGTTACATCTACTCAATTTCTCCAAGAGATACTCAAACTTCACATGTCCCAAACTCAACTCCTCATTTCTACTACTCAAATCTCATCTACTTGAAGCAATCTCCATCTCATATGACACACTTCTACCTTTCCAGGTTAAACACCTTGGATTCTTCTTCCATTTCTCTCTCTACACTCCATGTTCTACTCTAAAAGTCTGACCCCATTAGCTGTTCTAAATCTACAAACTCTTTAGGTTCCATCTAAGTCACAAAGGTCATCAAATACAGAGCTGGGACCACCTTAGGTAGAAGTGATAATTAGGGCAAGCACATAGGCCACTGCTGCTAACTAAGTGTCAGATATTCACATCTAACAAATGTCTGCAGCAACCAAACAGAATACTCTGCAGACTATATTTAGTTATTAATCCATTGATTTGAAACTTGTCTTAGAACTTCACACAATCTGAATTTATTAGAGTATTAATCCTAAATCATTCACTTCCACCTACATATGTGAGTCATTCAGGATCAAAGCCTAACATCACTGTGGCTATCCACAAAAATGTTTCTAGGATCAATATTATTAATACTAGCAGAATGAACAGCTGTTTAATTTCTTTTCCCTGCAAAAACTACTTTCCCTAATAACTACTGCAGCCAACCAGAAGTAAGTGGCTTGGCTAGCCACTTAAAAAAGCCACAGGGACAAACCAGTAAGAACCACATGCCTAAAATCATGACAAAATTTCAAGTCACATTATCAAGTTCTTAATAAATCAGTACCTAATAAAATAAAATAATATACTAAATTATATCCACTAACCTTTGGAATAAAAAACCAAGACAAAAATAACAGTAGGTAATATTTAAATTGAATAATCCAAGCACCACTTAGTATCTACAAACCAAGCTTTCCAAGTTAAGTGTTAAAAATCATTCCTTTGCCTCCAGGAAAAGGTAAAACAAAAGCTGTGACTTGAGGGCACTCAGTCACTGTGTCAGAGCTACATGATGCTCAATAACTAGTTACAAAACCAAGCTACATGATGAAATCTAACTGAACTCAATTGTTCATGGTTCCCTTGAAATACACAGAAACCACTTTCAAAACCATCTTAGAAAAGGGAGCACTTAAATTAATGGGCCACTGAGCAGTTTTCAAAATCTGACAATACCATAAAATGTCCTACATGTCTTGGGGAGGGGGAGTCAAGCTAATTGTGGGGTTTGAATAAGAATGACCCCTAGTTGGTGAAACTATCTGGGAAGGATTAGGAGATGTGGCCTTGTCTGAGGTGTGTCACTGTGTGAAACCTCAAAGCCCACAGCATTCTCAATGTAGTCCTCTTCTTGTTCTTCCTCTCTCTGCCTCATGATTGTATGGAAGCTCTCAGATATGGTTTCAAGGTCATGCCTACCTGCCCACTGCCATACTCCCTACCATATAACTCATGGACTACACTAGCTTCTGAAACTGTGAGACCTAAATTAAATGCCTTCTTTTATAAGTTGCCTTGTTCATGGTGTTTCACAGCAATAGAACAGTGTTCCCTAGAATCAAAACACAATTTATTATGAAAGTTAAAAATATATAACGTTAAAATGTATTACGAGAAACAGTTCCCTATAGTGCTCTGGCAAACAAAACAAGAGTGTATTTGTATCTATACCTAGAGGTGAGGCAATAGAACTTAGGTACCAGGAGAGAATTTCTCATGTCATGTCCAAGGTGAACTTTATGGGGTTGTTTGTTCTTTTGTGTTTTGAGATAGGGTTTCTCTGTGTAACCCTAGATGTCCCGGAAATCTTCTCTATAGACTAGGCTGGGCTCGAACTCAAGAGATTTGCCTGCCTCTACCTCCCAAGTGCTGGGATTAAAGGTGTGTGCACTACCATTGCCCAGCTTAAGGTGAACTTTGAAGAATGGGTGAGAGTTAGAAAAGATAGAAAAGGAAATAGAAAGTTCAAACATATTCTAGAGGAGGAAAGTGTTGTAACTATGCATAAAAGATTTGTTTACTGAGCAGTGTCAGAATAATCTCATGGAAAACTGAGACCCTTTGCAACTAATATACTACAGATGGATTACAGACGATTTTGAGAAATCTCAAAAATATTGTCTTATTAATTACTGGAGGAATAATATACTAAAATTTAAAGACTGGTAAGAAATTTATAACAGATAGCTATTACCAGTCAATTAAAAACTAAAAGTGCTGGAGAAGTGGTTCAGTGGTTAAGCGTCTTACAGAGGACCTATCTGGATTTGGTTCCCAGCAGGCACACGGCAGCTCACAACCTCCTGTAACTCCAGTCTCAGGAACTCCTAAACACATATGGTGCACATAAGTCTGGCATATACACAAAAATAAATATAAGTGAAAAAATATAAAAATGTCAATAGTTCCTTAATCAGGAGGAAAAATTACGATAACTTAGAACAGGTAGATAAAATAATAAACACACATATAAAGTAAATACATAAAGACTTCATGCAATTTGCTAAATTACCCCATTCTCTATAAAATCTTGACAAACTAGGATTTTATTTACAACTTGAATAAGCCCCAGGGATCCTCCTGGTTCTGCCTTTCTGGCTCTGGGGTTACAGGTGTGTAGATACTGTACAGTGGAACTTTTCTGATAACCTCAACTCAACTAAGGAATGTTTTAGAATATGCAACAACAAGCCAAAGACTATACAATGGTTTCTGGGGGAGGTACTCCAG